GCATTTTAGTCGATTTCGAACTGGCCACAATTAACTCAATTTCGGCGGTATTTCCTGGTTGCACAATTGTAGGTTGTTTCTTTCATCTAGCACAAAACTTGTGGCGAAAAATCCAAGAACTTAACAAAACAATATCGGGAAAATGTAGATATACGAGAAAAATGCCCTCAGTTTCATTCCACAGCGAGATGTACAATTTGCTGCCGAAATAATTAGCGAAAATTTCCCAAAATATTTGAATTTGCTGGTTGATTATTGGGAGGATAACTACGTAGGCAGAAGGACTTTAGGGAGTTCAGGCTAGATTTCCCATCAAAATATGGAATATGTTCAACAGATTGGAACCAAATCTTCCCCGAACTAATAATTCCGTGGAAGCATGGCACAGAGCCTTCCAGAGGACAATCGATTGTCACAAGCTATCTGTTAATCGATTAATAGAGCAGCCTAAAAAAAGAGCAAAATGTTGCGGAAATATATGTAGCTAAATACAGAAGTGGGATTAGGCCTAAGGAGCGACCAGGAAAGAAATATATTAAAATTAAGAGTAGATTAAAAGTTATGGCAGCCGAATGTAGAAAAGCACCTTATGCATGTAGCACATAATCTAAGTCTATAATATAGATCTGTTTGTGCCAATTTAAAATATAATCTTGTTTGTATTTAAAATAAGCATATTATTTTGAATTAAAAAGCGCTGTTTGTCGTTATTTACTGCTAATTTGTCCAACGATGTCTCTTCAAGTCGCTATTTTCTCTGCGTGTTTTTGTCAACGCGCTGTTTCTTCTTCAGATATTTTGATATAGCGGTATTTTGTCCTGCTCTATTTTGTACCAGCGTTGTTTTTTCTAATGCTATTTTGATTCTGCGCTATTTAGTCCTACGCCATTTCACCCATACAGACAAGAACGCAGTTCATAAAACAATGTAATAGACATTCTAAAATAATTGAAACACTTGTCGCTGTCTTCTTGCAGTTCCTTAAACTAGGTTTAAAAACTCATCTTTGAAATGTCGGCTGTTTATTAGATGAAATGCCCAACACCTTTTAACGAGGCTTTTTTGGACAATTACATGTAAATAACAATCGGATTCATCCTCTTCAACTACTGTGGCTCCAACCCATTTTCCACATGCGGACGTTGGAAAACGCAATGACCGAAATGCTTTTAAACGGATGTTCACAAGCGGAGTGCATAAAACCAGCCTACGAAGTATGCCTAGAAAATAACCGGACTATTCGTTCTGTACCACATTCTTTGATTTTCTTTTACTATACGGAGAATGGTCGCACTGCGCAGCTTTCTGAGTGCATTTTAAAAGTAGATAGAAAACTCCGCCATTTTGAACCATTATTACGTGTTGCCTACATCTTGGCGCAATATTTGTAATAGGTGCGTTTTAATCATCCGCTTCTGCTTCGGAATTGTCGATTTTCTTGTTTTAATCTGACAGGTTAAAACGACTAAACCGACAATTCCGGAAGCAGAAGCGGATGATTAAAACGCACCTGATATTTTGCTTGCTGCTGTCAGTGTCAGTGAATATAATTTTTGGGGTCACAGTTTATTACTAAAGAATCAGTTAGCTCACTCGGACCAGTTGAAAGTTCCAAAATAACATCCACTCCAGGGATACAAATTCAGGATACGCAGAAGACTGCTGTTTTATTATAGGCGGTTGTCATATATTGTATTATTCGAGTTGCGCAGTGTATAAACTGGAACATTGAGATCAAAAGTGCCGACGCAGAGTGAGCGATCTGATTCTTTAGCTATAAACTGTGTCATAGGAATCAAAATGGCCGCGCCCTATGTTGGGCGTGTCGGACCTCTCTCTTGTCCCGTATAGTAATCAAAGTATGTGTTCTGTACACAAACGGTTAGGGCGTCAAGGCTTGTCACGTGACATCTCCTCTCTTTATCATCGTAAAGGTTGCGCTCCACTTAATTGAGCTCAGAATACGTATTTACTAACTCTAGTCCAATCAACGAATGGCCCAAAACAGGGTGCAAAGTGCGTGAGCAAATACCTAGATGCTTAAGGATTGAACAAACTAAAAGTCCTGACATCTAGGAGGTGAGCCAGAGGGGAGGGGGTAAAAAAGAAGGTCCTTCTTTTGGGCTTTTCACTTATATCTCGAAAACGGTGCGTCGTATGAAAATATTAAGCGAAAGCTAATAAAATTATCTACCACCTTAATTAGATACACTTTTTTTGAATTCCCAACCGTTCTCAAGCTGCACCCTCCCAAAATGTGAAAATTTTCGAAAAAAATAACTTTTACCTCACATGGTTCCACAACAGTTCCTTCATAGCGTCTAAACTATTCATCTGAGAAAGAAATGCTCTTAAAATAAGTTGTAGAGTATTAAATTCCCTTCGGATGACATCAATTTGATATGGAATACCTCGATATCTGTGAAACAAGATTTTTTTGTCCAATCCTACCAACATAAGTCAGTTTATCTTCTTACTACTGGCAAAGCTTGAGGAGAATTGAATACAGACTCTCCAAGCCACCGATGATGATGATGATGATGACGTTCTTATCGTGAAGACTGCTGTAAAACCATCCCAGTCACAGTTCTGTGGCTGTCATTGGTGAGGATGTATACCTCGCTGTTCTTTTAATAGCTTCCACTCCTCCCACACAAGATAAGCTGCTGCTAAAAACCGGCCGAGGGAAAACCAAAACAATGGCACTGTTCTCCCAAGTGATGCAGCGGCATGGATTTGAGCACATTCTGTTCTTACATTCATTTACCGGCTGCGACACAACATCTGTAATTTTCAGGAGAAGCACTGTGGGTTTTTTTAAATTGTACTTAAAGTCAGAAATTATCAAGGAAGCGGCAGTGATCTTTTATATACCCTCCTCTACTCAAGGCAAGGTTGAAGAGGCTGGCAAAATTTGCTTTCTCAAATGGTATGGGCACCAGCAAGATAGACCTCCATTAATCTATGGGCACCAGCAAGATAGACCTCCATTAACCAGTACCGCTTCCATTCGTTCATGAGGTCAGTGGCAAATATTAAGCCCTAAAAATTTATTTTCGATTGAAAGTTTTGATTTTCTATTCATCTACCAGTATAATTGTCTATATTTCATACCCAATTCTTCCCGTTTTTTGTTTGAGTACTTTTTACTTTAATTTTATATCTATTTTACTGATCTTTTATTAGAGAAGTTAACCTGAACTGTTTTAGTTTCGTTGAGCTTAATGCGCAATCTTTTTGATTTTGGATAACTACGAAGTATCTATTATGAAAGTAATTACTTAGGCTAGAGAGGCATGTGCATCTACGTTCCGCAATCTCGCAACACCTAAGTAATGATGTCTGCGGCCACGTCGTGGATAAGTAACTGGGACGTTCCATCATGGGACTTAGCCGATTAGTGTTTAACCATCGACGAAGTGGAATGAATAACGGTGAATGAGTGAGGGAATGGAAAAGTAGTAGGACCTTCAAATAGTGACAAAAAGAGCCGCCATGCTACAAACGGATTAGAGTGATAGCACGAGAGGGAAAGGGGGGAGGCGAAAGGGTGAAAAAAAACTACTTATTATTAGAATAAAATACAATAAATATTAAAGCAAAGGAACTTCACAGACTATTTCTAAAACGTATAATCTCTTTTTTATGGAACTATTTTTAAAAATATGGTATGCCCACATAAGCTTTAGCAGTTTTAAAAACCAACAATTGAGAAAATATTAACTATCTGAAACTACAGAAGGTGATGAAGAAGAGCTTGATTCAACCAAAAAGGGTCATACTTGAAAAACATCATTTTACAAATAATGTGAAAGGAATTACAGAACATTGAAATAGTTTAACATTCAAACAATTAGTAGTATTAGTTGTTAAAAAAAATGACTTGAAGGCGTCAACTTGAGTTCCAGCTCCCTTATGAAGCATTTTCGGATTAAGGTAATTTAGGTTAATTTGACATAAAACAAGTATTAGGTTTGTTCCAACCCAGCAGAAAACCGTACATCGTACGGTCATCGTCATGCGCAGTAAATAAAGTCTGTTCCATCCGAGAATTGACGATACATTGTACCGTCCAGTTAGCGTTCCAACCAAACATGGGACCATTCGGGTATCGGTTTCTGTACGATCCTTTCGATACCAAACTAAAAGTTGGTATCGCTTGGGTTGACATGCGCACTGCGTACACTGAAACGAGCAAGGCCCGTTTTTGCTTGGTGGTGTTTACATTTTTACATTAAATTGTTTTTCAAATGTTCTGCTTAATTATGTTTGTTCTTGGATAGTACTTAATTTAATTATGAGTGATGAAGAAGATGATGATTTTCTCTCAGACGTATCGTCTAGTAAAGACGATTTAGAACTCTAAATGAATATAGAGTTAAAAATGATAACTATTTTGGTTACTTCCCGCCAACTGAAATTGTCAAACAGCTTCGATACTGAAAATGGTACATAAATTCGTTCCAACACGGTAGAGTGTGATTCCATCCACAAGACAGTGCCAGGTCAGCGTTTGCGCATAACAATTGAAAAAGTTAAACGAGGTAAAAAATTATTATACGTTTTAAATATCCCCAATTTTTTTGAAAACCCCCCTAATTCAAATTTCTGGCTGCGCAACTGCTGAGGCAATAGTACCAGCCGGTTGTAAGAACGTTAATAATTGGACTTTATATGTAATCTTTATCAGCTACAATAAATTTTAACAGAGCATCAATACTTGACGTACGATTGTGCAATCCAACGCTATTCTATTAAAAAGAAACTAAGTATTAAAGAAAAAAATGTTTTTGATTAGTGATAAATGGATTCATGAACTCATGAATAACAATGTCGCTTTATTGATTATTAGAAAACACAATTAACATTTCAAAAAATTGAAGCTTTAACCTCAAGGTCACCAACCCTAGTAACCTAAAATTGAGAAATCAAAATGAACATTCTCTCCATTCATGCATGATTTAAAACTATACATCTTATTGATTTAAATTATGTATACCTTTAAAATGGTAAATCCAAAATTATTGTTTAATTCACTACACTCCTTTCACATTTTTAACGATTATATTTATATAGATTAACACTTAAAACGCACTCGTATAAAATGATCCAAAGATTTCACAAATAAATGTCTAAATCGTTACTATACCTAAAGGGAAAGTCACAGACCGGCACCGGTTCGGTAGGTACTACCGGGACAATCAACAATCAGCCGGACGTATTGTCAGAGCTATATCGTGTACCATTTTAGACTAATGTGGTACTGGCACTGGCAAATAACAAGTCAAAGGCCTGCCTCTACCTAGTTCTGATGTTCTGTTGCTCTCTCCGCGATGGGGATTCCAATTCCACGCACAGTGATCGTTGGTCATGGCATGGTATCGCGAGTACGTTGCTCGATCAAAGTCCGTGAAAGAATATAGAATGGGAATGGTTTATTGGTTTTATGGTATTCTCTCTGAACGTGAAGGACGCAAAGATCCGCCAAAATAATCTATACGAGGCGCAGGCGAAAATATTTCTTTATTAGATGTTCTTAAATTGTTCATTAATTCGTTCAGTGATGTATTGTTATATTGCACAATTAAAAATAAATTAAACATTCTTAAAATATTAGATTATGGGTCAAAACTTTGGTCACCAATTTACGAATATGATATCACTAATCGAAAGTATTCAGACTCGTTTGGCTAGATATGTGAAATTTAAAATCAGTGACTAACGAATTTAATTACCATGATTCAGTTTTTTTTTATTTTCACGATAGAATTAACATACAATTTTTCGATAGTTTAAAAACAGTAAAAACGTATATGTCAAATTCAATGACAGAATGGTTCGATTTTGTTAAAAGTTTGATTAAAAGTTAACTGTCAGTGGAACCAAAATTAAGTCATACTAATATAGCGTATTAATGTTACTTTTAGCCAATTATTGATATCAATTTAGTCACGAGGGAATCTTTTTAAGTAGGTATTATAACTGAAATTATTTAGATTAGTACATTTACTTTGTAACTTTTAAATAATTTCTTAAAACTAAATGAATAATTTGTTGAGCAGGGTACGTACGGAATTTTCTACACTGAAAGTCTACATTACAATAAGTTGAAAAAGTTATTAGGAATATGAACTTAACAGAAAGATATACATATATTAAATTCATGTGCGACGAGCGACAGCGGCCTTTGCCCGATATGTGGATGTTCGTATTATACCTTGTTCAACTCATAAAGAATTAGAAATAAAGTAATTAAAATTATATTTATCCCAAAATGACTGTAGAAGCGGCATTTTATTTGTTTAAAAAAATTATAATCCGTTCTAACATTTCAATAGACATCTTGGAATTGGTATTTACATCAATTTTTAATCCCGGATACAATACAACACAACATACTTGTGTATTGTTCATCATCGAGCCGTCAAAATTAATGATATTTTTTTATTTTTCTTTTCCGCTTTGAAGAATGAATTATTACATCATATTAAATACAAATTTAAATAATGTAATTAATCGTAAAAATTGAAATGTGTGTTAGTTAAGAATGTTTAATAAATATTTAATCAATAAAATTAAATAATACAATGACACAACGACGCGACAACACTGGCTTTTCTTACTTAGTCGGCACATTGACTTATTTGCAGCCGATGTGAAAGTCCAGTCCGTCTACAGTTATATGGGATAATTATTTCAGCAAGGTAGATAGAAAGAAAATAAATTGGATTACTGTATTCCGATACAAAGATAGGTCATAATAGTTTTAGAACTATATCAGTGTATTACTATCGTCGATAGGCATCATAATGACATTCGCCCTGTAGCGACTGCTTTCTTGATGTACTGAGACATATTTATTTAGTAATTTTGTTAAGAGCACCTTTAAACAAAGGCAACACTTTTTCTTCCATTCCTTTGTAATTGACTTGTTTAATAAAACTCTCAGATTAAAGAGACTGGAGATGTATGTTGTTTATTCCAACCTTAGGTAATCCACCAATTAACAATCATTGTTTCTACGACGCCACCCGAATTGTTCCGACATTTATATTCTACGCTCATCTCCGCGTAAGTGAATCATCATGGACCGCCGTTTCTTTGAATTATTTGTTGGTGTTATTAGCAATTTAAAGTGTTTTAGTTATTCGATTTCGAGTTAACAATACCATGACGTATCGTGAAAAATTGTATATACGAGGGTGGATCAATTATGAACCGACCTTTCCGGCCTGCGAGTAACAAACACGCACGAGAGAGGTAAGGAGTTATGTGAAGGAGGAGGGTAGTCTGATATGTCACGACATGCCGGTACCTGTCCTGCAGCTGCACACAGTCAGTGGGTATTACGATGGGCGAGAGAACAATACCAATTTCCGTTGCACAACACATCGTCATCAAATTTGTTACCAACGAACGTGTTGGTCCAGCGGAAATTTAGCAGAGATTGCGTAATCAGTATGGGGAATTAAAATTGTCCAAAACATAAGTGAAATTTTGGAATAAAATATTTCGAGAAGGACGAGATGCTGTGCAAAATAAAACTCACCAACGCCATCTACGAACGAGCACCACACATGAAAACATTGATGCCATTCGAGATCTTATTGCCACAGATCGTCGAGTATCCATAGCAGAAATTTAAAAAGCAGTGGAAATAAGCTATGGGAGTGCCCAATCCATCATTTAGACAAAAGTTCTATATCGAAAAATTTCTGCAAGATGGGTTCTAAGGCTCTTGAATGAACATTAACGAACTGTTCGTGTTGAAATTTCTTAAAGACTGCTGACACGTTAAGAAGTGGAAGGGGAAACATTTTTATAGCGTATAGTGACCTGTGATGAAACTTGGCTGCACCACTATACACCTGAGTCCAAAAGATCAAGTAAGGAGTGAAGACAAAAAGGCGAAGCTGGCCCAGTAAAGGCAAAAACTCGGTTGTCTGCGGATAAAGTTTTAGTGACGGTGTTTTGGGAATATAGAGGTGTTTTGTTGGTGGATTTTCTTCACGATAGACGAACCGTTAATGCAGCTTATTATTGCGATCTTTTGCAGCGTGTTCGAGCAGCTTACCGATCCAAAGACGGGGATGTCCGGTACGACAAGTGCTGCTCTTGCATGACAACGCTCGACCGTATACAACTGTACAAACTAGCAAAAATGCATTGGACTTTCACCATCTAACTACCACATGTTGGGTTCACTCAAAGATGCACTAGGAGGATGATGATCAAGTGGAGCGTGTGCAACTGGTTGAGTATATGACCTCGTTCTTTTCATGAAAAGGGTACAAAAACTCTACCTAGTCGCTGGGAAAAATGTATTCAGAAAGGGGGAATGTATATAGAAAAATAAGACATTGTTCATTTATTTTTATTATAATTTAATAAAAAGTTATTTACAAAGGTCGGTTCATATTTGATCCACCCTCGTACAAATAATATAAGTGCAAATGTTATGAAAAATAAGAAATATATTTGTTTTCAGCGGTAAATATTTATTAACATTTTGACATAAAACCGCCATGATCCTTTGGGCTAAATACTTCAGATCCGCATTAAGGGGTTTCAATAAACATTAACCATCAAATATTTCAAAAAACGGATTTCATAGTACTTACATAAATTTACTAAAGAGCAAAATTTAAAACATTTAATGTAAATAAGAAGAAAATAGGCATTGTTGCTAAGAAATTTTGTTTTAAAAAAGTAGTTTTAAAAGAATATTTACTAAAGGTGATATTTAGCCCTTTTTGGTAGATAAATAAGAAGTAAAGAGCATAGTTGCTAGCCAAAGAATATTAGATAAAATACATTAAGACCTAATTAAAATTTCATAGTATATCTTATTTGCGGTCAAATCGGATGTGACATTTGAATCTTATGTCTTAAAACAAATTAAAACACACAATATGATCTATTATAAGCAAAAAAATACTAAAGTTACGAGAGTTAGTCACAATTCAAAAAAAAAAAATGTTGTTTACTAAAAAAATCTAAATTCTTGCAATATTTATTATTTATTATACAATCGAATGCGGTTTTAAAGATCAAAAAAATGCGAATCTCTAAATTTGCTCAGATAAAAACAGAGGCCATCCCTGTCACAGAGTTCGGGTCTCCTCCCAGTTCCCCCACTCCGTTAACCTTTCTTTAGAAATTGGTAACATTCGCGCAGGTTAAACACCGGTGTGTGTTACATCACTGGTCTCTTTTATCTAAGATAAAACTATGCAAATTATGATTACAATGATCATACCACACGAGTACTCAATATTGACTCGTAGGTACTTTATGTCTATCAAATTTTTCTAAAACTTCAATTGTAAATATGCATACCTAGTATGTGATTTGCACGATTTGTGATTTTATTATTAATCTTATTCTTGTTTACATTTTATATCATTTTAATTATTTTTGCACTATCTATAAAAGTATTTTATTATTGTTTACATTTATTTTATACAGGTCATTTCAATGAAAATTATCCACCTTAAATAATTTTAAAGGTGAGTATAAAAAAATTTAAAAAATAAGTTAATGAGTCTTACTATGTTTTGCTCAGGTATAGTCGTTGTAACTTTTACCATCTCCTCCCGATAGCTACCACTTTTTTTTTAATGGAACCTCCTCTATATTATTGCATTTTTCTATTCTTCTCTAATATTTGATTCCAAAAATGTATACTTGAGGTGTAGTGAATTGTTTGGAAATTGCGTTTTTTGCGCTTTTGTTTACGATCTTTCTCTTTCTCTTTTTATATGTTTTCTTCTTATTTCTCTCCTATTTTTCTTCTGTCTTCTATTTTTTCCAAATACCTCTCACTTTATATGATTTTTGACTTACTTTTTAAGTTTTTCCTAAAAGGCTCACTTTTAAAATTATTTAGGGTGGATAATTTTCATTAAAATTCCCTGTACATGTTTTTGAATTACTGTAAAACGGTTTAACCATAAATAAATAAAAAAACAGGGCCATCATATATTAATTGGTACATCTCCTGATTCTTTAAGTTTTTCTTACTAATTTTCTAAATTTTCTGTTCTTTATAAAGCATTTTAAAAAAAAATTGAATTTTATTGAAAACAGATTTGAATATTTTGACATAATTTGTAAATAATCCGCCTTAGATCAAAAAAGCATCACTGCTAAATTTCCCCGGCTTTTGACACATCCAAATTCCTTGACATTAGCTGACTCTCCAGGAACCCAAAAATAATGGCTTTAGATATAATCTGAGTTAATTCAATATGAAGTTCTTGAAATTATAAAATATACGAGAAAAATGCCGAAGGATGTATTTCTTGTTTCTTAATAATTTAAAAATAAAAGAACTTTTTGAGCTATTCTAATTTCACTT